TGAGGGTAGAGGGCGGGACGAGAGTTCGGACTGTCAGCGCCCCTTTTGCCGCTCATTAATCACTTAGGCTACTGTGGGACAGGCCGCCAGGGATCAGCAAGACACACATACAAGCACACACACACACTCGCAAATTTAAAAAAGGTGTGAGCGCAATACCAATGCATAATCTGTCTCTCCGTGAAACAATCAATACACGCAAGAGAGAGAAACCCTATTATGTGTTGAGGGCTGTTTCCTCAGCGATACAAATGCACATATCGGAGACACATGGGTGCAGAAGGTGTCCCCGCTCGTCACCATAGAGAGGAGACAGAAATAGAGGGAAGATGAACACAGCTCAGAGTTCCCTGAGGCTGGTCAACAACGCTGAGAGAGGAGAGAGAGAAAGGCACAAAGAGAGAATTGCACAAAGAGAGCACTTTCACTGGTGGAGCCTTCATTCAGTACGGCTGGTATCATGTTATACAGCCTCCTGTCCATTCCCAGGATGCCTTCCGGGACTCACTAACTCCATATGCATGCATGTTTACATCTGTGCCAGTGAATTTTTAAATATTTTTTCATTGTAAATAATATTCTAGTCTCCTGAAATGTCCTTAAACTTGTAATCCTTAAATCACTTGTACACACTCAGCATTTAAAAGTGCCTATATGAAAAATTATTATGTTATGTTTCAAATTATTCTGATATAACTGTTTGTTTGTAGACAGTCGAGATAATCCCAGTGGAAATGTGTGCAGTCTATGTGTTCTTTTCAGGCCATTATAATTAGATATATGGGGCAGTCACTGTATTTTTTGATATCACCATTAGGAGTTGCCAAAATCAGACATTTTCAAATTGTACACAGTGGATTTAAACGTATACATAACATTGCTAGTCTTGTAGAGTACTACTCAGCTTGTGAAAAAAGTATCAGGGTTTCCAATTTCTTAAACATTAACTTCAAGGACTTTTGAAAGGACTTTCCAGGCCCAGTTATCACTAATTCAAGGACTCAACACAACACAATGCTGTCAAAGGTAATTCTTGACTGTGGAAATAATGGTTCAATGGTTTCACAAAATAATCTTGATTCAAGCTTTCAACCACATATCATGGTCTTCATCATCAGTTGATGTCGTTTGCACAGTTGTCATGAAAAGCTAGTTAGTGGATCTTGAGTTAAGATCATTTTTTTCAAACTGGGGTTGTGGAGTTTGAAAGAGTAGAAGGAGGAGAGGAAGGAATGATAAGATCTATCGACTTGCAAGGAAAATTTGGTCATTTTACCTCAAATATTTGGTAAAATAGGTAATATTCTCCTTAATAATAGCAACCGACAGTAGGTCTTTGTAAAAAGCAATTCAAAATATCATCACAGTGACCATTATAGCACCACAGGTAGGTTTAAATCATTCATTTGAACATGGAGAAATGACTCAGCCCACGGGGATAAGGGGATTCCTTCAGCCTGAAACTGAGTGATAAAACAAGCCTGCTGCCTTTTTGCCTCTTTGATATTTACTTAATGAGAGATGTACTGTACATACAGTGTTTAATATGTCCAATTACAGACACAAAATACGATGGATAATGAGCTGGGTAAGACATAAAAATCCATTCTTCCTCTCTTCTCAGTTATTTTTCTTAATTCTCTGTTGGTTACTTATTCTAGGGTTCATGAATATTATCACAGAGCTGTGGCTGTGACCTTTGCCCTCCTCAGTATTGGATTTTTAATAGTCCTGATGATCTCCTGCTAGGAAAGCAGGCATACTGTTGGACTGTATTTTGATCTCGATTCCACATCCATTTATTTTCCTTGAATACATGCTACATGCTCTTACTTTAAAACACTCCCTTACACACACATTACACATACACACTTCACCAGCTATCTCTGCTCTCCAAGGACACCTTCTGGAGGATGCCTGAGGGAAAGCTCTTTCATGCTCTCAGCCATCAATTGACCAATCAAGGCTTGCCAAAGCAAAGTGACTGTTGCTGCTATGGGGACAGAGGGGAGTGCACAAGAGCTGTTTTCAACAACCCTTTTACTGTAAGGCTAGATTAACAATTCATCCTCTTGTCAAAACATTTTGCAGGTTATTGAGAGAGGGGAGTTGGCCAGAAAACAAACATACACATATTAAAATGATGATGCAATGATATGATTACCCTGAAAGTGAAATTTACTTTTGAGACAAATTGCTATATTAAGGTGGTCTTTATTACACTCCTGATTACCCATCATTAAGACAGATGTGACAACTGAAGTCCACTGCACGGCTGACCCTCTCATCGGTGACTCACATTTGGAACCTCTGAGACTCCAAAATGAAATGATGAAACAAGAGAGGAGGCACAGATTAATTTTTCCCACCCATCAATCTGCACGCCGCTCATAAATGTCAGCCTTAGGGAAATTGAATGGCACCATTTCTCTGTGTTTATTAGGCTGGGATGAACTCCGTCCCAATGACCTTTCGGAGAACATACCCACGCCAAGTTAACTGAGGATAAGTCAAACTTGGAGTTCCTATGACTGGCAGAGCCAGAGCACTAGGATCCCAGCGGACTCATCGCCGCAATAAAAAAAAGACTGGCAAGTTCATCACGAGAAAGGCCGGAATCCATTGGGAGAATGTCACTTTTTTTTTATTACCTAAATGCCCAGTCTTAAATGCCAAAGCACTCGAATCCCGCAAGTCATTATTAAATTGTGGTTCCTTGAACTCTGAAGGGACTGTGGCCAGTTTGAGTGTATCAAGTTTGTGCTCCTTAAAGTCGAACTGAGATCAAAATTCTTTTTTACTAACGAATCAGTGTATCTTTTGGTGTTTCTACCAAAAAAAGGTACATTTAGTTTTATTTTATTTTTTTGCCGTTACAGTGCTGAAAATTGACATCTAGTAGGAGTTTGTGCTAACATTAGCAAGCTACTCTAACTAGCTTCCACTTTAAGAGTGAACACCAGTTAATCTAACTCCCTAGCTCCCACTTTCCAGGAGCAGAATACAAACAGCACGACGGCTCCTCCCAAAATGTCGAATGTCGTTTAGGGACAGACGATTAAATCATCACAGAAGCTTGACCATAAACATTATGTAAAGGCTAATGTTGGTAGGCCATAGCAACAACAGCCCTCACATTTCAGTCAATCTCTGCCTGGGAAACACCCACTCAGAGGCTCCAGGCATAGCCTAGATGGTGTTTCCACAAATATATCCAAGAATGCTTTTATCCTGTAATGAATGCCACCGGTTGCCTTCAACGGAGTCCACCATGTTTAACCACCATGTACTACAGTAGCCAAGAAGGGACAAACCAAACACTGACTGTAGATAAGGGCGTTTGGTTAGATTAGGTTGTTTGCCTTAAGGGGAGGGTAAGGCAAGGGAGTTGCAATCTGTAGTTGCACCGCTAGATGCCACTAAATGCTACACACTGGTCCTTCAAGTTCAGTTGTAAAGCTGCAGTGGTAAACTCCTTTATTTCCAGTCTAGGTTGAAATAAACACATCCTCTGCCTCTCTCTTGCAACAAATATGAGCATACTGTGCAAATTCAGAAGATTTCTGGCTTCTGAAAATCAACTTTTTCAAGTTCTTGCTGCAACTTGGACCCACCAACGAGCAAAGGTGCCCCGAGCAGCTTTAAATTCAATCTCTCTTGCCTCTGTCGATAATCCAATAAGTGGAGCGTTACCTGCAAATGTCACCGTTTACATTATTTACCAACCGATTTGTCATGAAACTCCATCAAATTCGAGCAAAATAGGTCTGCTGGCTGTTTCACGGTCAGATTATTTTCTCTTTCATGTTTTTTCTTTTCTTTTTTTGCAGAGCCGCCTGCAGCCACTGCCAGTAAAACAGCAATGTGTTGCACTGACAAAAAGGCTCTGATTGCAAGTGATGTCTCCACCAGACACCACCACTCAAATCCCCCCTGGCGTCTGTCAATATCCATCACAAAGACAGCTCTTGTTTACATAGTGTAGTGCTCTGGCTTGACCCGGCCCTAAGGAAAAACCACTACCATACAGTTAGAAAACTTCTGTCTCCTCCAAAGTAACCACTTAAATATGCCCAAAATACAATATAATTCAGTGGTCACTTTAGTGGATTAATGTATCAGTTGTGCTAGACTTCTGTCTCAAATACACTTTGAAGCCAATATTCATGACAGTAAAGGCATACAAAGTAAGTTACTTTCATCTGAGACAAATTACGTTCCAAACCACAAATAAATAAGGCACTGCAAAATTCATGGACAAAAAGCTCCATCAATATTTTAGTCATGGCTTCGTGTGACTACATCAAGCACCGATCTGTCTGTTTAGTGCGCGCTCCTCCTCACCACACTGGCTCTGTGCGCACACAGGCGCGTCCTTGGACTCCCTCTGAATGTTATCAGACACAGCGGCATGAGTGGTTATTATTGTGGTTCCCAAAGTGGGGTCAGGGGACCTTCCCCGGGTCACTAATTGAACATTAAAGGGGTTCCCCAAGTCAAATGATGCGCGTGTTCATTTCACAGCAATAAAATATGAAAGGAAGTTCAAACAAAGGACATAGATAATAAGAAGTTTCACACTGAACGCTGTGATTTCCCTGCGCAGCGCAGCGTAAACAGACAGTAACAAGATGCTCATGGACCTGGGCCACCATGTGATGTAATGGAAGAGGCGACAGAGTGTCCATGTCTATTTGTGGGGCCACTGACATGAAAACGTCCCAAAAAAAAGTCCTGATCTTTCAACAAAGACCAGCGCCTGACAACATCCACCGCGCGTCCAGCTGGACCACCTGCATGCGTAAAAACCACACTGCGCCTCCTTGTCTCCGAGAGCCGCGCAGTGTGCGTCTGCAGCCTCCTGCGAGAACAATAACTTGTTTCTGGTGATGTGGCTGGAGTGATGGATGGTGGAAGGTGACAAAGAGGGGTATGGTAGGGATGGTGCATGAACCAGCGGATCGTGACGGGACGGGACGGGAGGGGGGTAGGCTACTTACGCTGCTGTTCTCTCCTGTCCAGTGGACCATCGCCTGGTTGTGGGTCGCATCCCCTTTGAGCACGAACGAACTGCTGAGCAGGGACATTTGTTTTTCCCGGGACAGTGCTCTCCTGAAGCGGGGAGAGGTCTCCGCGCCGACGGCTTCCTCGACACCGTCCGTCGGTAAGCCCGGCGGGGAGCCACCGTCTCCACCGCCCATGTCAAACGTACGGTGCTCCCCGCCGCGCCGGTTTAAAGCCCCGCTGTCACAACGCACGGGTCCCGGCAGTGCCATCCAGGCCGAGACGGTCAACAGAAAGACGCAGAGGTGCGCAGCAGCGGAGACACGTTTTTCGGGGCGCAGAGATGCCATGCTTTGCGCCGTAGTACCGCTCGTATCGCGGAGACTGATGGAGAGACTGCTGATGCTTGTGGGAGATAGATAGGTGTATACTGTAAGCCGAGTGAGAGAGAGAGTGAGGGAGGGAAGGAGGGAGGGAGGGGAACTGGAGCGAAGGCAGACAGTGGGAACAACGTGGACGCGTCTCTGTGCCAAGCGGGATCCACAGGACGGCGCAGCGGTGCCATCTGCTGTCCTGCAGCTGCAGCGCCCCGCCACCAAACTACTCTTCATCTTCAGAAAGTGTCACCACGTGAGGATACACGTTTTAAATATGATAGATGACGTATTTCCAACATGCATAGATTATAACACATTTTTATTTAAAGACTGATTATCATTCTATATGAGGAGTCTGGAGAGGTGGCCTTACTCAGTTGCTGTGGCACAATCATCCAGGAAAAATATGAATCTCAAAAGGGTGTGAGCAAATCTTAAACCATACTTGGTGAAGTTCTTGTATCATGGAACCAAACTCACCTCTTTGTTTATGTTTGAAGATGCAGACCATGCACACCCCCTGCCACATGAACGTCTCACATTTACCCTCCAGTGTGATTTCATTCTCACTGGAACAAGTAACCTCCAATTGTTGATGAATAATACAAAAATAAATTGTAATTTTAAGTATTTTGGCAATCTTCACATTCTCCTGCAATTTCATTGCAAAAACAAATGTCACAACATGCATCACAATTAATTAAAAGCTGCTGTGAAATCAGACATTTTAGGCTGTAACAATTCCACAAAAAACCTGCAAAATCCTGGAGGGACTGAAAACGGACTGACAATCCTGGTCTAGGATAAAGTCATTCCTGCGTTATATTAACCCAGACTTTTTAGTGAATATCTGTTTGACTGCCAGTTTGAATCCCAAATGACACGAGGAAACAACTACAGATCCTGGAGAGCCCATCAATGAGGAGTAGTTTGATTAAGCTTCTAGTCCACACTTCTGTGAGCAGCTGAAACAATGACCTTAGAGGGGTTGTGGGGATAACTGTAAATTCTGCAGTTCATCAGTTAATCATAAAGGCAGTTGCCCCTAAAATCCTCTCTGGGTTAGTTTTTGTTTCAGCTTTCAAATAAAATGTCTTATTTGATCTTTGCTCCCAATTTAAAAGATAAAAACTATCAGATGAGCTAAAGTAGTTGGAAGCCTTCTGTAAAGAGACACTGTCTGTCCACTCAGGCTCCTCACTGCCTCACTGCCTGCGTGTTGGTGGCCAGCTGGCTGAGAGGTCATAGTTCACATTTGGTCCCACTAAGTAAAAGCTCTCCTCTGTGCCTGTCCTCCTATCCAATTATTGGTAGAGGCAGGATTAACCCATGACTTCCTAGGTCAGGATTGGCAGGGGTCTGATGCCTCTTCAGGTCAAACAACAAGAATTTACCTTTTATTCATACTGACATTCATCTGCGGTCACAAAATCCCATTGATGCTTGTTATTGATGTTTGCTGTATTCTATCATGCAGATAATAGGTTTTACTGATCATAAAGCACAGTACATATACAAAGTGCTCTATGTAACTGATGGGATTAACCTGCTTCACCAAGGAAGACCAAGGTTTGCTTTTAAGACTGCAGGGCCTTTGACTATGGTAACATTTTGTATGGACAGCACTGTATCTTGCAGTTACAAGCAGTGTGATGTGTTTTGGGAATGGTGGAATAATGGAAAGTGGACAACTGCTCAAACCCTCAGTGGCCCCAAAAGTCCATGTTTCACTGTGCGGCAGTCAAACCTACTACAAGGAGTTTGTAAGTAGTTATGAAACTGAAACTGTCTTTAGTACCGATTGGTCAGTGTACTTTGTGACCAATGGATTTTTGTTTTGAAATGAGAAAACCAAAATCGGGAAATTGGTTCCCCTGACTACCATTTATAAGTAGGGGAACAAAAAACTGAGTTTTTCTGTTTTTCTGTTGGCTGCACACTGTTAGTACAACTGACTTATGTACTATCAAGCTGCCTTCAGTGCATACATCCATGAGTAGTTATGAGCTAAAATGTGATGGTAAGATAATAGGCAGAAGTAAAATGAATGGTTCAAAAACTAGAAATGAGAGATAACCTTCTGACAGCTGAATAGTGTCGGTCTACAGTGCTGTATTTTAACATTGGTTATAATGGTGGTATTTAGAGGGCCTGATATTTTCAGAGGTGGTACACGGACGTCAGAATTGATGCAAACTGAAATATCATGAATGGTTTTATATTTGATGAGTTGGTGGTACAGGTGCTATAAATAGCCACAGCCATGCATTATAGACAAATGCCACACAGTCACTTTTTCTTCTTTGTTGTTCCTTTCATTGACGAATGAGTGGGCACGAGTAACAATATGCAAACGGTTGTTTAAGGATGTTTCTACATCCATTTATGGATAATTGTGGAAGTGGAAATGAAGCTTGTGCCGGCACGCTCATTTCTGTAATGATTGAGATTTATTTAGATTTATAAATCTGCTGGAAAAAGACAGTGTATACATATTTCTGTCTTTGTGCATA